GCCACTCGTAGCTCAAGTACCAACCACCACAGTGGATGCCGTCTTACCCGCATTCGAGGAAATCGAGGCCGAAGAGAGCATAGAGCCGGCCGAGGGGGCTGTGGATGACCAGGTGGAGAATGTCGAGCCCAGGGAGAGTGCTTCAGTCGCGGTCCTGGAGGAGGGAGAAAAGTTGGCGGTGCCAGAGATCGAGAGTGGTGCACCGGATTCCATGCATGCGACAGATCCCATGGTGGAGGACACACAGAGAGCATCTCCTGCCAGTGAAGACATTCACGAGGTCGTGGAAGACGAGCAAACCAAAGTTGATGTGCCACAGCAAGTTTCCGAACGCGAGGTTGAGCTCCCCATTGCAGTAGAAGAACTCCCAGAGTCGGTGAACGAAGCCGTCCAGGAGCCACAGCCTGTGGCTGAGGCCGTTCCCGGGACAGAGGCCGTGCCTGAGGCTGCTGAGGAACTTGCCAAGGAGGTGGAACTGGCCGAGCCACTCGTAGCTCAAGTACCAACTGCCACAGTGGATGCCGTCTTACCCGCACGCGAGGAAATCAAGGCCGATGAGAGCATAGAGCCGGCCGAGGGGGCTGTGGATGACCAGGAGGAGAATGTCGAGCCCAGGGAGACTGCTTCAGTCGCGATCCTGGAGGAGGGAGAAACGTTGGCGGTGCCAGAGATCGAGAGTGGTGCACCGGATTCCATGCATGCGACAGATCCCATGGTGGAGGACACACAGGGAGCATCTCCTGCCAGTGAAGACATTCACGAGGTCGTGGAAGAGGTGAAAACCAAAGCCGATGTGCCACAGCGATTTTCCGAACGCGAGGTTGAGCTTCCCATTCCAGTAGAACAACTCCAAGAGTCGGCGAAGGAAGCCGTCCAGGAGCCACAGCCTGTGGCTGAGGCCGTTCCTGGGCCAGAGGCTGTGCCTGAGGCTGCTGAGGAACCTGCCCAGGAGGTGGAACTGGCCGAGCTACTCGTAGCTCAAGTACCAACCACCACAGTGGATGCCGTCTTACCCGCACACGAGGAAATCGAGGCCAAAGAGAGCATAGAGCCGGCCGAGGGGGCTGTGGATGACCAGGTGGAGAATGTCGAGCCCAGGGAGAGTCCTGCAGTCGCGGTCCTGGAGGAGGGAGAAAAGTTGGCGGTGCCAGAGATCGAGAGTGGTGCACCGGATTCCATGCATGCGACAGATCCCATGGTGGAGGACACACAGAGAGCATCTCCTGCCAGTGAAGACATTCACGAGGTCGTGGAAGACGAGCAAACCAAAGTCGATGTGCCACAGCATGTTTCTGAACGCGAGGTTGAGCTTCCCATTCCAGTAGAAGAACTCCCAGAGTCGGTGAACGAAGCCGTCCAGGAGCCACAGCCTGTGGCTGAGGCCGTTCCCGGGACAGAGGCCGTGCCTGAGGCTGCTGAGGAACTTGCCCAGGAGGTGGAACTGGCCGAGCCACTCGTAGCTCAAGTACCAACTGCCACAGTGGATGCCGTCTTACCCGCACACGAGGAAATCGAGGCCGATGAAAGCATAGAGCCGGCCGAGGTGGCTGTGGATGAGCAGGTGGAGAATGTCGAGCCCAGCGAGACTGCTTCAGTCGCGATCCTGGAGGAGGGAGAAAAGTTGGCAGTGCAAAAGATCGAGAGTGGTGCACCGGATTCCATGCATGCGACAAATCCCATGGTGGAGGACACACAGGGAGCATCTCCTGCCAGTGAAGACATTCACGAGGTCGTGGAAGACGAGCAAACCAAAGTCGATGTGCCACAGCATGTTTCTGAACGCGAGGTTGAGCTTCCCATTCCAGTAGAAGAACTCCCAAAGTCGGCAAAGGAAGCCGTCCAGGAGCCACAGCCTGTGGCTGAGGCCGTTCCTGGGACAGAGGCCGTGCCTGAGGCTGCTGAGGAACTTGCCCAGGAGATGGAACTGGCCGAGCCACTCGTATCTCAAGTACCAACCACCACGGTGGATGCTGTCTTACCCGCACACGAGGAAATCGAGGCCGAAGAGAGCATAGAGCCGGCCGAGGGGGCTGTGGATGACCAGGTGGAGAATGTCGAGCCCAGGGAGAGTGCTTCAGTCGCGGTCCTGGAGGAGGGAGAAAAGTTGGCGGTGCCAGAGATCGAGAGTGGTGCACCGGATTCCATGCATGCGACAGATCCCATGGTGGAGGACACACAGAGAGCATCTCCTGCAAGTGAAGACATTCACGAGGTCGTGGAAGACGAGCAAACCAAAGTCGATGTGCCACAGCAAGTTTCCGAACGCGAGGTTGAGCTTCCCATTCCAGTAGAACAACTCCAAGAGTCGGCGAAGGAAGCCGTCCAGGAGCCACAGCCTGTGGCTGAGGCCGTTCCCGGGACAGAGGCCGTGCCTGAGGCTGCTGAGGAACTTGCCCAGGAGGTGGAACTGGCCGAGCCACTCGTAGCTCAAGTACCAACTGCCACAGTGGATGCCGTCTTACCCGCACACGAGGAAATCGAGGCCGAAGAGAGCATAGAGCCGGCCGAGGTGGCTGTGGATGACCAGGTGGAGAATGTCGAGCCCAGGGAGAGTGCTGCAGTCGCGGTTCTGGAGGAGGGAGAAAAGTTGGCGGTGCCAGAGATCGAGAGTGGTGCACCAGATTCCATGCATGCGACAGATCCCATGGTGGAGGACACACAGAGAGCATCTCCTGCCAGTGAAGACATTCACGAGGTCGTGGAAGACGAGCAAAGCAAAGTTGATGTGCCACAGCAAGTTTCCGAACGCGAGGTTGAGCTTCCCATTCCAGTAGAACAACTCCAAGAGTCGGCGAAGGAAGCCGTCCAGGAGCCACAGCCTGTGGCTGAGGCCGTTCCCGGGACAGAGGCCGTGCCTGAGGCTGCTGAGGAACTTGCCCAGGAGGTGGAACTGGCCGAGCCACTCGTAGCTCAAGTACCAACTGCCACAGTGGATGCCGTCTTACCCGCACACGAGGAAATCGAGGCCGAAGAGAGCATAGAGCCGGCCGAGGGGGCTGTGGATGACCAGGTGGTGAATGTCGAGCCCAGGGAGAGTGCTGCAGTCGCGGTCCTGGAGGAGGGAGAAAAGTTGGCGGTGCCAGAGATCGAGAGTGGTGCACCGGATTCCATGCATGCGACAGATCCCATGGTGGAGGACACACAGAGAGCATCTCCTGCCAGTGAAGACATTCACAAGGTCGTGGAAGAGGAGAAAACCAAAGTCGATGTGCCACAGCGAGTTACCGAACGCGAGGTTGAGCTTCCCATTCCAGTAGAACAACTCCAAGAGTCGGCGAAGGAAGCCGTCCAGGAGCCACAGCCTGTGGCTGAGGCCGTTCCCGGGACAGAGGCCGTGCCTGAGGCTGCTGAGGAACCTGCCCAGGAGGTGGAACTGGCCGAGCCACTCGTAGCTCAAGTACCAACCACCACAGTGGATGCCGTCTTACCCGCACACGAGGAAATCGAGGCCAAAGAGAGCATTGAGCCGGCCGAGGGGGCTGTGGATGACCAGGTGGAGAATGTCGAGCCCAGGGAGAGTGCTTCAGTCGCGGTCCTGGAGGAGGGAGAAAAGTTGGCGGTGCCAGAGATCGAGAGTGGTGAACCGGATTCCATGCATGCGACAGATCCCATGCTGGAGGACACACAGAGAGCATCTCCTGCCAGTGAAGACATTCACGAGGTCGTGGAAGACGAGCAAAGCAAAGTTGATGTGCCACAGCAAGTTTCCGAACGCGAGGTTGAGCTTCCCATTCCAGTAGAAGAACTCCCAGAGTCGGCGAAGGAAGCCGTCCAGGAGCCACAGCCTGTGGCTGAGGCCGTTCCCGGGACAGAGGCCGTGCCTGAGGCTGCTGAGGAACTTGCCCAGGTGGTGGAACTGGCCGAGCCACTCGTAGCTCAAGTACCAACCACCACAGTGGATGCCGTCTTACCCGCACACGAGGAAATCGAGGCCGAAGAGAGCATAGAGCCGGCCGAGGGGGCTGTGGATGACCAGGTGGAGAATGTCGAGCCCAGGGAGAGTGCTTCAGTCGCGGTCCTGGAGGAGGGAGAAAAGTTGGCGGTGCCAGAGATCGAGAGTGGTGCACTGGATTCCATGCATGCGACAGATCCCATGGTGGAGGACACACAGGGAGCATCTCCTGCCAGTGAAGACATTCACGAGGTCGTGGAAGACGAGCAAACCAAAGTCGATGTGCCACAGCAAGTTTCCGAACGCAAGGTTGAGCTCCCCATTCCAGTAGAAGAACTCCCAGAGTCGGCAAAGGAAGCCGTACAGGAGCCACAGCCTGTGGTTGAGGCCGTTCCCGGGACAGAGGCCGTGCCTGAGGCTGCTGAGGAACTTGCCCAGGTGGTGGAACTGGCCGAGCCACTCGTAGCTCAAGTACCAACCACCACAGTGGATGCCGTCTTACCCGCACACGAGGAAATCGAGGCCGAAGAGAGCATAGAGCCGGCCGAGGGGGCGGTGGATGACCAGGTGGAGAATGTCGAGCCCAGGGAGAGTGCTTCAGTCGCGGTCCTGGAGGAGGGAGAAAAGTGGGCGGTGCCAGAGATCGAGAGTGGTGCACTGGATTCCATGCATGCGACAGATCCCATGGTTGAGGACACACAGAGAGCATCTCCTGCCAGTGAAGACATTCACGAGGTCGTGGAAGACGAGCAAAGCAAAGTCGATGTGCCACAGCATGTTTCTGAACGCGAGGTTGAGCTTCCCATTCCTGTAGAAGAACTCCCAGAGTCGGTGAACGAAGCCGTCCAGGAGCCACAGCCTGTGGCTGAGGCCGTTCCCGAGACAGAGGCCGTGCCTGAGGCTGCTGAGGAACTTGCCCAGGAGGTGGAACTGGCCGAGCCACTCGTAGCTCAAGTGCCAACTGCCACAGTGGATGCCGTCCTACCCGCACACGAGGAAATCGAGGCCGATGAAAGCATAGAGCCGGCCGAGGGGGCTGTGGATGACCAGGTGGAGAATGTCGAGCCCAGGGAGAGTGCTTCAGTCGCGGTCCTGGAGGAGGGAGAAAAGTTGGCGGTGCCAGAGATCGAGAGTGGTGCACCGGATTCCATGCATGCGACAGATCCCATGGTGGAGGACACACAGAGAGCATCTCCTGCCAGTGAAGACATTCACGAGCTTGTGGAAGACGAGCAAAGCAAAGTTGATGTGCCACAGCAAGTTTCCGAACGCGAGGTGGAGCTTCCCATTCCAGTAGAAGAACTCCCAGAGTCGGCAAACGAAGTCGTCCAGGAGCCACAGCCTGTGGTTGAGGCCGTTCCCGGGACAGAGGCCGTGCCTGAGGCTGCTGAGGAACCTGCCCAGGAGGTGGAACTGGCCGAGCCACTCGTAGCTCAAGTACCAACCGCCACAGTGGATGCCGTCTTGCCCGCACACGAGGAAATCGAGGCCGAAGAGAGCATAGAGCCGGCCGAGGTGGCTGTGGATGACCAGGTGGAGAATGTCGAGCCCAGGGAGAGTGCTTCAGTCGCGATCCTGGAGAAGGGAGAAAAGTTGGCGGTGCCAGAGATCGACAGTGGTGCACCGGATTCCATTTCTGCGACAGATCCCATGGTGGAGGACACACAGGGAGCATGTCCTGCCAGTGAAGACATTCACGAGCTTGTGGAAGAGGAGCAAATCAAATTCGATGTGCCACAGCAAGTTTCCGAACGCGAGGTCGAGCTTCCCATTCCAGTAGAAGAACTCGCAGAGTCGGCAAACGAAGTCGTCCAGGAGCCACAGCCTGTGGCTGAGGCCGTTCCTGGGCCAGAGGCCGTGCCTGAGGCTGCTGAAGAACCTGCCCAGGAGGTGGAACTGGCCGAGCCACTCGTAGCTCAAGTACCAACCGCCACAGTGGATGCTGTCTTACCAGCACACAAGGAAATCGAGGCCGAAGAGAGCATAAAGCCGGCCGAGGTGGCTGTGGATGACCAGGTGGAGAATGTCGAGCCCAGGGAGAGTGCTTCAGTCGCGATCCTGGAGGAGGGAGAAAAGTTGGCGGTGCCAGAGATCGACAGTGGTGCACCGGATTCCATGCCTGCGACAGATCCCATGGTGGAGGACACACAGGGAGCATGTCCTGCCAGTGAAGACATTCACGAGCTTGTGGAAAAGGAGCAAACCAAAGTCGATGTGCCACAGCAA